TTTATCCTGATATGGAACTTCTCATAAGAAGAAGTGTTCAACGATGACCCTATCAGAGATTGAAACCAGAATTTTAAGATCACACCAATACTAAATTGAAGTAACTCATTAGTAAATAATACTAGGACTAATACACAATAAAACAGTTAAGGTCTATCAAACAAAGACTGACTAATTAATAGACAATTGTTATGCAATTGTAACATAAATGTATATAAGAACAATAAACACATAAGCCGGAACTAAACGATACAAAATAATAATTATATTATATATAAAGGAAGAAACAAAGCTTTCCAAAATAAATAAAACATACACACACACACACACACTTTATGTTACTCTCTCTCTCTCTCTTTATAAATAAAAATCAGTCCTTAAATCGATAATCTTGTCTGAAAATCAGCCATCATAATAACAATTAATCAATATGATGTCACAGTTTAACCCATAAACAGTCTACTATACATGAATGAATGTATATGTGTACCTAAACAGATCCACCCTCTCTCTCTCTCTGTCATTCTCTTAAACAAACACACACGCACATATATACAGAGAGAGAGAGAGGGAGAAAGAAAGAAAACATAGACGGTGAGAGATAGACTGAAGTAAATAGCATGTTTGAGAGAGAGAGAGAGGGAGAGGGGGAGAGGAAGATAATAATGAAGACAAAATAAAGGAAGAATGTGCGTTTGGATTGTAAACATCTACATACACAATTTCAGACAACTTCAATTTGATCAATAAATAGGTAAATAAACAAACAAAAAACCAACAAACAAATAGATAAACAAAGGAAGGAAGTGAGAAGAGAAGAGAAGAGGATATATAATAGAATAAGGAATAACAGCCCAGCTGTTGTATTACAATTACCGTTATGCCTAACATGAAAGAATAGCAGATGATAGAATACTCCTATTAATTTTAATAATAATACTAAGAAGAAGAAGGACGATTGAATCAATGGAAAACAGAAGACAAGAATAGTACAATCGTCTAGACGTCTGTGTATGTATGTGCACAGTTTACACGTCCATACATGTGTGTGTGTGTGTAGGTAGGTAGGCACGAATCTTTAAGGATTGTTTTCTCCTAGTTTATTATCATTTACTTTGCTCAAGGACATAGAAACATACATGCACCTACATATTCACAAACAAACAAATAAACAAACCTTAAATTCAAACAGGCCTATTGATAAATTTTGATATTTCATTCTATTTTCAAATACAATTACGTAACAGTAAACAAAATGAACGAAAAAAACATCTATGTTTAATAGAGAATTTTTCGGGGGGGGGGAGGATTGAGAAAAATTTATGAAAGTGATAGTTACAACGAATCTATTGAAAGCTAGAAAGTACTGATATGGAGTAAATATGGTGAGACTATAATTTATGGCTGACCTTTGAGCAAAACGTTAAAGTGACATTGAGAATGTACATCTACTAACTAGGACTAAATCAAGGATGTAAACCAGTGTCAGTAAGTCAGTAACAACGTAGAACTTCGTACGTACGTACATCAGTTCGAGTTTTCATACCACATTAGCACAAAGATGCAGTTGTCGATTCAAATCCCATAGTGGTAGACGTAGTAACAGTATAAGTAGTAATCGGGAAGATTAGGGTTTGAAGATGTTATTCAAGAAGTATAATCCAGTGAAATAATTTTTGGAAAGAGAAAAAAGAGACAAGGAGGGATCAGGAGATTGAAATTTCGGAGAAAACAAAGAATGTATGCACCTGCACCATTGCAAACGATTTTGAGCCATGTCATTCAGGGTCTCTAACCATCGGTCGCTATCACCTTGCGGTCCCCAACCAGGTAGTCTATACCTACTAACATGACTCAGTCCACTTGTCAGTGACCTCATGAACTTGTGCCATGAAGTGTAACGAATTAGAATTATTATTTACAGTTAATGGTTAAGGTTAAAAATTAGATTTAAAGTTTACATCACGAAATGACATATGATAAAATGTCCTAATACTATTTAACCAAAAGGATGAATGAATTTTGCGCCAAAATTGAAAATCTGTTATCTTAAATCTGATTGGTTCGTCCATAAATTATAGTCTCACCATGAAAAGTTTACAACCTTTCATCGTACAAGTTACAAAAAAGTACAATCAGAGACATCGTGGTGGCTGGTAATATTTATTGAAAAGAATGAACATTATTTAAATGTCCATTCCTTAACTGCTAACATTTAACTGGTGATCACTCACTATTTATATTCAGGATCGACCAAGCAATAAGAAACCGAAATTCGTTCATATATATATATAATCTGACGTTATACCTTTGGGGTGCCGGCCCAGTTGTTTAACATTTATTCAATCGTCGTTATATCAGAAGATTCTGAAATTGAGACCTGATGTGGTTGAGGATGCACACTTCTGAAGAATCCCGTACTAAAACAAAATAGATACCCAAAGTTTCCTAATTTTCAAAGACTGTCTGATAAAAGTCAGCTTGTGATGTAAACTGTTAGAGGAATTCCAAAAATATCCCTCATTAAATCCCTAGAGGCCCAGAAACTCCAGGAAACGTTTTGTCCAATCCGCGTTGAATGGAAACTTTGCAGAAATATCTATAAAATGCAAAATCATGCGCAACAGTTTTATGGGATATTTACCTACCATGCTACTACATTTTGTATGGTTCCAGAAACTTCCGGAAGCCCAAGGCCATTTGAAATACTACTACTACTACTTTGCGTCTTTTCTCTTATGTTCATGTTGCCATGTAGATAAAAACTTGTGGCTATTAGAAGCGGCTAGAAAACACAATCGGGAGTTCATTTAGCACACTTATCACAATCTATTTAATGAAGTTATTACCGAGCAATTACGAAACTACACATATTGACGATTATTTCTAACGAGCTAGAGCATAATCCTTTTCATGAGAAATATAAATATGACCGTATAATTAAGTGTTTGGCAAAAACGAACTACGTTGAAATAAAGGTAGACTGGGCTAGCTGAACGAACTGTAAAAACACAGTGAATTTTGTTTTTTTTAAATAAAAAACCCCCAAGCATTTATGCAATTCATTATAAAGTATGCTTGGAATAAAAATAGTTTTGACATAGTCCATGTAGAATGTTTAGATCACTCTTATTAATTACTGAATATTCACAACAAATTAAAATATACAATTTCGAGAGGATCGCAATTCTCCATGATATTTGAATGTTCATCACCACCGCAATCAAATGGTTATAGATGATGGCACAAAATTATTTGGGTACTATAATACTGGGTAACAGGGGTTCGAATATTCCGGAGGACATCAATCCACTTAAGACTGTAGATTTGTCTTACTAATTACTCAAAATCATCATTAAACTTAATTTGAACATATCCTGACAACTAGGTGACTAAAGCCAAAGTGACAGTCGTTCCTGAACATGGCTACTACTACTAAACTACTTATTTTAAATAAGTAGCTACAACTACCATCATAATCTAAAAATGCACACTTATTGTACTGAAATTAAAAAGTATCATTTATGCGCGTATTTGTTTACATCACATTTGTATTTTTATTTTGCATTTCATCATACAAAGTTTTCATTAACAAAACAAACAATGCTCTCTCTCTCTAAAAGATTGAATTGCTTTAATCTGATTCTAAAACTTAAACTATCGATCAGCTGCTTTCTTCTCATTCAATCCACTTACAGTCAGAACAGTAAGTGTAGGCAAGTAAGTAAATACAGTGAATGAATGAATGAACAATAGAAACACGTGAATTGTAATAAGTTTCTCGTTTACGCATAATTCTGAATGTTGTATTCGCCAACCGGCAGAAAAAAAAATACAGACAAAGAAATCAATAACACGGTTGGATTCCTCCCTAAGGTGAATGAGATTTGCGAGTCATTCTTTAGATTATTTCTTTTGTGGTTTGCTGTGTTTTTGGTGTTTTATTCCGTAGGGGAAAAGTATATATTACACTGAAATGGTAGTAATTTATTTGATTCCTTAATTATTGTTAGTCAAATAAGACATTTTTCATGGAAAGGCTTTTTTTAGAAATCCGGAATTACACTACGCCTCTCTGTCAGTCTGCGACTAGTAGACTTCAACTGTGTCGAGCGTGAAATAAATATTGACCGCATTTAGTGGAAGGTGGTTGCGTAATATCGCGAGTTGATTGAAGCTAAATGTGTACATTATTCAATGCCGGGTCAATTGCCTTGAAGACTAAGGGTTCTTGATTGAGACTGAAGGTCTTGAGCTCGACCCCCCCCCCGGGCAAAAGGATCTTGAATGTACACTGCTGAGGAGTCCTAATGTTTCCTGGTCTTCAATAATTATTTAGCTAAGAGTATTCTGTGATGTCAACCATGAAATTAATAAAAACACCTCTAAATCCACTCCCGTGCATAGCAATCAACCAATCTTTATGGTGATCTAAAATGTGCACTGTATTAAAAAATTTGTTCAGTTTTAGTGTTTTTATGATCTGAAGTTTAATAGTAAGTTAGTTTCATCAAATAAATCTATTCGACTGATCATACTTATTGCGGAGAAAAAGTCTCTGTAATCATAAGTTACAATAATTGCGAGAACTATAGTCAGGTAATCTTCACAGAGCAACGCAGTTCAATCCAACAGTCATTAAATTTATAGAATTATCCCAAATTCTTGTTGGACGACCATTCCTAACTTTATTTCAGCTCACTCTTAAATCAGCAAACATTCCTCATTGAAGTAGGTCGTGCATACTTAACATATATTCTATCCATTTAACTTGATAAAGACTTGCAACTTTATCAATCGATTTGTCATAATTATTTAGTACCCTACTCGGTGTTCCTAACAAAAACAGGAGCAATGCTTCAAATGTATAAAGTAAGTACAGTTTTCATTATGTTACTACAATTGTTCCTGTCTGTTTGTTTTGTATGCAAACTGCACTCAATCACACATACACACATAAAGAAAACAAAAATGTTTATTATTACTGTTATTTCACTTACACTGCTCGTTTAGCCTTACGTCTTTGATATTCACTTTCATCAACAACCCAAACTGAACCAGATGTGGTTTCCAATCGTCGGAAACATTTATGTAATGATAAATTATGCCTTACAGCATTCTGTTAATATAAATAAGGAAAAAGGGAGAGATGATAACTTTTTATGATAAAAAAAAGTTTTAAAAAAAGGTCAAACAAATGAAAAAAATGTAAAGGAAGCAAGTTTTATCACATTAGGATTATGGCAATATTAGAGCAGTGAAATCCCATGATGTGTATTTGGATCTCTCTGCAGGCGAATATAGATGTAGCACCAGCTGTATTCCAATGTCAATATTCATAATATATTGAGATTCAACTAAGGTAGTATATTTCGTTAAAACTGTCAACATGTTATAGACTGAACTATTGGATCCAAATAGCCATAAACTCAAACATGCCTAAATAAAATATCGGGTTTTATAATTTAAATCATGAAATGATTTTAGTTAAACAACCATCGGAAATCATAAAACACTGGGCAACTGTTTTGTCCTAATACAGGACTCTTCAACAGTCCCCATTTATGATCTATCCACTAAAGATCGAACCCAGGACATCCAGTTTTGCAATATTACAGATTTCTAGAATTTAAACATGCAAACCATCAAATGGAGGATCAGTGGTATATAGGCAAAACATCCATGTGCGGAAATGAAGTTCCTGAACTTTGTCTCTATTGGTGAGGATGTGCATGTGTATTGCTAAAGAGTCACATATCAAGACGAAACGGTCATTCAGTGCTTTCAAGTTTTCAATGGTGATCTAGTTAAGATCAGTTAGTAATTTAAGTTATGAAAATCCTATGATTAATTCATACCAAACCATTTTTTACTGAACAACTCATCTTTAGCATAAATACTTACTTGCCTATATGAATATCAAAATAATTACTCATAGTTAACCATTACTTTTATCAAATAGTATTTATGTATGTAATCTTTTGTGATCGAATCAAATAATTATTCCAGGTTTTCCATGGTGGTCTAGCTTCAATTGACTCCTGATATCAACTATTGAAATTATTACAATCACCACAAAACCCCTTCTGATACTAATCAACATATGATCACTAGTGACTAGCTTCAAGAGGTATATCCTGAAGTTCTAGTGAGAAGAAGTGACCAATGGAGTTCAATCGGGTCAGTTGTGAGATAGTAACTCACTGATGACAATGGTGGATGTGTCGCTCAATTTCGTGGATTAGTTGAAGTTAGACATTAACACTATTTGATGCCAGCCGTTTCAACGGTGTAGAGGTTAAGTGTTCGCGAGCGAGAATGATAGGTCCTGGGTTGGAATCTCACGAGACGAGGTCATGGATGCACACCGCCAAGGAGTCCCACAATAGAACGAAGTGGCCGTTCAGTGCTTCCAAGTTTTCCACGGTTGTCTAGCTTCAATTGACTCATGATGTCAACTATTGAAATTTTCTTCCATAAATTTAATGTTATTCAAATCAAACTGACTCTAGTTACATAATAGTAAATACAAACAATTAACCCAATTCAACATTATGCAATTAAACACACAAACAAAGATAGGCAGATAGACAAATATACATACATGTTGCTTTCATATATAAATGATAAATATTAGTTCTTTCAACAAACGAAAACATCATTAGTTGTCTATCTAGACAATCTACATACTTGTGTAGAAGTGTACAAGTGTTCACTTATACATTTTATCCACTGTACCTATCTCTCTACATAAGACAGTTTGTTTATATAGGCTACAAATAAATAAAACTAAGTAAATTAATAAATAAACACCGTAATAGAATTCATTATATGTTTGTTCACCATCATCGTTATAATAATAACAACAACAGTGATAGATGTACTTACACATATGAGAGAGACAGAGATATGTGTTCATCTACTTCTAATTGTGACGGAGACTAATTAGGCACAAGCTTTTAATTTGGCATGATCAAAAATTGAAAGCGAACACATCGTTAATAATAATAATACTAGTACTACTACTACTACTAATAATAATAATAATAATAACGATATTTGTAAGATTAGAGAGCAACATTTGAAAAAACCTTCCTAGTACCCTATTAACAACATAACTAGACACTAATCACTTTGAAAAGATACTACTATTGGTCATTTAAGTAGTAATATAGTGAGTGGGGGTGGAGGGAGGATGGAAAGGAAGAACAATTTTTAAAAAAATAAACATTTAATATGTTGATTGTTATTGTTTATTTTTATTCTGTAGATGACAACTAATAAATATATTGTAACATCTTGCATTTAAAACACAAACTAACCATGTGTTGTGTGGTGGGAAATCGAAAAAAAACAAGTTAGTTGTTTGGTTATCAATACTACTAATATTATCAACATTATTACTACTATTAATTATAAGGGGAATTCAGCAATTGCTTGTTAAGATTTAAATGATTTTTTCTGGTTGGAGTTTCTTAGCAGGGCTGTTTTCTAAGGGATGGGGGGTGCTGACCTCATGTCCAAACCTCCTCCTCTATTCAAGCTTCGAACTGGCAGCACGCCCAGAAGGGCTTTCACGAGGAGTCACAGGCGTAAGTAAGTAATCAGGTTGTTAAGATTTAGTCAAAACTTAAGAAGTTATTTTTTGAGGGTTCACATTTTTTCATTGTACTGATTGCACAAGCTAATGACTTGGTGAATAACATATTGGTCATTTTAATCAAACGGTGCTGAGTTCATCTCCTAATGTGATAAATATAAACAATTGGATAAAAATATAGTCAGCTTATGACGAGTTCGAAGCAGGACGAAAGGAGCATTCTGAATTCTACTGTTAGTCTTTATAAAACTCTATCAAAAACTCCTCATACATTTATGGCTGATTATGAAGATAGTACACCACAGAAAAGTTTTTTTTTTGAAAGTTAACTAAACGTTTCAGTGAGGACCATGAAGACTAAAAATTTTGTTCAAGAAGAGGAACAATGTCAACCTGACAAGGTGATAAAAACACTGAACACATATTCAGAAGATTCTTGACGAATTGAATTTGAAAAATCTTTACTGTATATACAATTCTAGCAAAATATGTAATTGGAAAGATTGGAAAAATTCTGTAGGAAACAATAAGGCAATTGAACTGTTTGATTTCACAAAAGAGAAATCTTTTTGAAAGGAACCAGTGCACCTAATTATTGAACACATAATATATACATTAAGCTAATTATCAATACTGTGGCAGAGAACAAACCAGCTTCCAGTTGAAGTGAAAATTGGGAAAACACATTGAGAGTCGATAGGTCACAGATTGTGGAAATAACCAAACTGCATAAAAAAGCAAATTCTTAATTGAAATCCTTAAAATAAAAGGAAGGGAGGCAGATAAAAGAACACATGGCACAGGGAATTGGATGCAGACGTCAAAAGAATGAATACCACTTGGAGAAAACTAGAAGGGAGATCCCAGGACAGAGTTAGAAAATCCTGGTTTTCAGCCCATGCTCCATGAGGGGTTACAGATGTAAGTAAGTCAGTAAGAGATTATCGATAAGTAAACAATATTAACAATACTCTAGTTATATAAATCAGCCTATGTGAGACATTTAAAGCTTAATAATCTATCAAAAGATTATGCACTTTAACGAGTTATGAATTTAACCATCCAGTCAGCGTAGAAAGACGTTGTACATTACTGACGAATTATTCATTCTTCATCTAACTCATATCGTAAGCACCTATCATTCACTGAGTCCAGTAAAGGAAAATAATGCGATGAGATAGATTTAAAGTTTCAACTGTTCACTATGAGACAACTAATGAGAAATAATGTAAAGACATTGTATCATAATTAAACGTAAATTTCAAATATATGCGGGCTTAACTCTCTTAGAAGAGGGTCAGTTCTCTCAAAACTTCCCGTGTCTTGTTGACGAGTTCCAAATAGCACAAAACCTAGGTTCAACAGGATTTCACATATTGACTACCTCCAACCATCTAATATATCATCAATAAAATACAACAGAAGAAAAGATAGCTCATTTTTTATTCACAGCTTGATCAATACAAGTGGTAAAGATAACTGGAGTATGACAGAACCTAACTGTATTGATACAAAGTATCATTTAAAAACTGTACTCAGGTGATATGGAATAGTCTATCATAAGATAGGCACACTTTATAGGAATAATATATTGGATTATATTCAGCGGTGACTTGAGTGTGCAACTAATCCACCAACTATTGAGTGGATGAAAGATGTATTACATGTAACTGGTTATTGTACTTATTTACTTATTTACGCCTGCTACCCCTCGTCGAGGAATATAGGCCGCTCACCAGCATTCTCTATCCAACTCTATCCTGGGCAATCCTTTCGAGTTGTTATTCAATCTTTTCATGTCTGTTTCCAATTCTCAACTCTGAGCATTCTTTGATCTTCCTCTTTTCTGTTTCCCTTCACGACTCCAAGCTAGGGCTTGCCTCAACATGCAGTTTGATGATTTCTTTAATATATGTCCTATCCACATCAAATGTCTTTTTCTAATTTCCTCTTCAACTAGAAGGTGGTTTGTTCTCTCTCACAGTAGGCTGTTTCTGATGGTATCCGGCCAACAGGCATTGAATATCTTGAGTAGACAACTGTATATAAATCCTTGTACTTTATTGATGATGGTTGTAGTAGTTATCCAATTTTCAACTCGGTACGGTAGGACTGTCTTTATGTTCGTATTGAAGATTATCACTTTGATATTGGTTGATAGTTGTTTTGAGTTCCTTATCTTCTTCAACTGTAGGAATGAGGCCCTTGTTTTGCTAATCCTCGCCTTTACATCCGCATCGGATCCTCCAGGTTCATCGATGATGCTGACCAGATACGTGAAATTTTCCACCGCTTCCAGAGTTTCTCCATCAAGTGTGTTTGTGTTGTTGTTCTCCGTGTTGTATCTGAGGATCTTACTTTGTTCCTTGTGTATGTTCAGGCTTACTGATGCAGCGGCTGCTGTGACAATAGTTGTCTTCATCTGCAAAGTCCAAATCGTCTAACTGATTCTGAGCTGTCCAACGTATTTCGTGCTTCTCCTCAGATGTCGAGGTCTTCATAATCTAGTCGACCACCAGAATAAAGAGAAAGGGGGAGAGTAAACAGTCTTGTTATACTCAGGTCCTCACTTGGAATGTGTCTGTCAGCTGTCCCCCACACACGACTTCGCACTATAGTCCGTTGTATGAATTCTCCATGATGTTGACGATTCATAGTGTTCTCCTATCCACACTGTCAAACGCTTTTTCATAATCAAGAAAGTTGATGTATAGTGACGAGTTCCATTCACTCGATTGTTCCACGATGATCCGGAGTGTCGCAATTCGGTTTTTGCACGACCGATCCTTACGGAATCTGACCTGTTGATCTCGAAGTTGGGCATCTACTGAGTCTGTCATCTGATTCAGCAGCACTCTATTAAAAACCTTTCCTGGTACTGACAGTAGTGTGATGCCTCTGTAGTTCTCACATTTGCTCGAATCTCCTTTCTTTGGAATCTTGATGAGATATCCTTCTTTCCAGTCTGTTGGTACTTGTTCTTCCTCCCAAATAAAGTGTGAAGCATACTTGCAGTTACTTCTATATCTGACTTCAGAGCTTCAGCTGGTATGTTGTCAGGTAATGTTGCTTTCCTTCTTGATTTGTCTGATGGCAATCCTGATTTCTTCCGTTGTTAGTGGAGTGACATCCATAGGAAGGTCTGTGTGTTCTGTTTCGATGTCCGGTGGATTCATTGGGGCTGGTTTACCGAAGAGTTCCTTGAAGTATTCTATCCATCTGTTCCTCTGCTCTTGGATCTCAGTGATTAGCTAGCCTTCTTTGTCCTTGACCGGTCTCTCTGGTTTACTATATTTCCCTCTCAGTTTCTTCGTCGTGTCATATAGTTGTCTGATAATTCCTTTTCTTGCGACCTATCTGCTCTTCTACATAGTCAGCTCTGATGCTCCTCTTCACTTGCTTGCTTACTTCTGAGTATTCAGCTTGTGCCGTGAATTCCTCTGCTCTTGTTCGGCTGGTGTTAATTGCTGTCTTCTTGTTCTGTCTTTTCTTGGATCTTGTCCGGGGTTTCTATAAAGATTCGTGCCTTATGATGATGCTTCTTGCAGTCCATAACCTCCTGACATGTTGAAGTTAGTGCTTCTGAGATACATTTCCAATTATCCTCCATCGTAGTTTCTTTTTCTTTGAGCATATCTTTTAGGGCTTGGAACCCGTTGTTGAAAGTTATCTTGAATTCGTTGAGTTTATTAATACGTCGAAGGAAGGATGTATTGAACCTTTGTAATGCTGTTTGTCCAATGCTTCTTTAGCTTCAGTTTCATCTTGGCCACAATTAAGTTGTGATATGAAGCTATATCAGCTTCGCCCCTGGTTCTAACGTCTTCCATTGTCCTTCGAAATTTTTTATTGATACAAATATGATCTATCTGGTTCTCCATGGTGTGATCCGGTGAGACTCATAAAGTATTGTCTATGCGTTTGCTTGGCAATACTGTGCCGCCTATAATCAATTTGTTGAATGCACGTAGGTTTGCAAATATCTCTCGATTTTTGTTTCCTTCTCTCAATCGGCCCATGTCGTCCCATGATATCTTCATAACCGTTATTTTCCATCCCGACTTTGGCGTTTATATGCTGAGATCCCTTCTTGGGCCCTTCACTATGATTGATTGCAGCCTCCCATAAAACTTATCCTTATTGTCTTCGTCGCTATCATTAGTGAGTGCATAACATTCATTTTGATTCCCTGCTTCTGTGTTTTGAAGGATGCTTTGGTGATCCTGGATCCATGAAATTCCCATCCAATAGGTGCATTTCATGCTTCTTTGGACAGCATCAGAGCATTTCCCTGAGTGTGAAGAGCAATTTCTTTTTCGTGTCCAGAGTACAGAATCATCTCTTCGCTGTTTAGATTAGATCCAATGGGTTTTGCTGATTCGGAGCACTGCCAAGTTTAATCTTCTCATTTCCGTGGCTATTCAACTGGTCCTTCTGGTTTTCCACATTGTCCGGACGTTCCATTTACCTATAAAAATTGTTTCTCTAATTGCTAGAAGTGGCATCGGCCTCGTGACTTTCGAAGAATCTCGGCTTTCATCATGAGACATCCCTTTGGGGAGGTAGATGGTCACTGTTCCCTTCATTCGTATTTACTACCATCTTCAAACACTTATGCTTTACATGCATGTCACTGGTACATAAGCTTGCGCTCATGCATTTCATAGCAAACATATGGACATTAACACTCTTATGGGAGGATAGATGGTCACCGCTCGCTTCAATTTTGTTTCATGCCCATCATTTTTTCGTTTTATCCCGGTAATTTACTTAACATTATACATGTTTTGTTTGTTGGATAGTTATTAACTGAATCACAAGAATTTCATCATAACGGAAATAGTATAAATTTAGAAAAGTAGGGAACTCATGGGAGTTTTGTTCATAGATGACTATTAATCATTTGCAGAACATTAAATCATTCAACTTTAAGAATATAAAGACTGCTAAAAATTCTTTGTCCAAGCAATAAATCTTTCATCATAGACGATAGACATTTATTGTTAGATGGTTGAAGGTGATCGGTAGTAACCCCTTACAAAAAAAGTTCGCTACGTCACGAGTAACTTCATTGGGAATATCTATAATAATAACAATGATTGATGTAGATGAGAATCCCTTGAAGAGCATCAAAGTACTCTCAAATTTGTAGACATACCCTATTTGTGCTAACAAGTAACATAACCAACACGAAACGCAGATCAAGGGAACAGTTCCTACCGCTTACCGCTAATCATCATCTGACATAATAAATCCAATGTCAAACCACTTAAACGAATGGCTTAGATTGAAACTTGATCTATTGGATTCTATCATCTCTAAAGACTAATCTAAAGAGGAAAATGATTAATATGAAGTGATTGATCAACCAGAGTACAACTATATGCTTCCTTTATTATTAACACATTTCCTTAATTATTTTCTTTGAATAATGAAATCGAAAGAACAAAACAAACAAGAACAAATAACTCACTTTCCATGTAGCTTCATTTTGTCGAAAATAAGCAAATTCACGTTGTAACCATACGTAAATTGCACTTAATGATAATTGTTGTCCCGGTGATTCTAATATTGCTTGACGTATTAAATTAGCATAAGTGAATCTGGGACGTGCACAATGTGATCGATAATATTGTCTTTGAGCTAACGATGTATTATTATTATTATTGTTTGCAGTTGAAGAGGTACCATTTGTACTTGACGTGGCTGTCGTCTTTGTTGTCTGTGATGTTGTTGTAGTTGGTATTGTTGTGACAGCTGCAGTGGTCATCACCGATGTCAAAGATGAAGTTCCTGTTGATGATGATACTACTGCCGGTACTACGATTACTGCGGATGACAACGACGTTTGTTGTTGTGACGATGATGATGTGTATGCAAGATTTTCACATGTCATCACTAATGAATTTTCAGAATCCATAGCTTCTGGTATATTACAGTGAACTTTAAGGTGGAGGGCGGAAAATACAAAAAAAAAACAAATCAATAAAGGTTTTAACTGAAGCATAAATACAAACTGATAAGTATTCACACGTTAGTAGGAATAGGTCAGTTAGTCGTAGCTAGAAGCAGAGTAGAACCTAGTGTGGTTCAATTTAAATCATTATACTATATCAGCTCAGAGTGATGAAATTATCAAGGAAAAAGATCCAATAACAGAAACACACTAGAAATAGACAAGATGATTCACGAGGAAATAAGAAATTCGTGGGATAATCATGTATAAGACAATTTTAGAACTCAGGATCTAAGTAAGAAAACAAATTGGAGATGAATCTGTACTATTGTGATCGATTCTGAACTATGGTTATTCAACATCTTCAACCATTGGTTACGATAATCGAGTGAACCCTAACCGATTAGTCTGCATCCATAGAAGTGGATCAGTTCAACAGTCAATGATGATTTCATGGAAAAATGCCGTGTTTAGGTGAAGTCCTCTTCAATTTTTTCCCAACACATCATCCCTATTATTTACATTATTGTATCAATTAGGAAGTTAAATAAGTACATGGATAGGGTAAAAAGGTTTCATCAGTAGTGCTTTTTCTTCAACGATAGACATTTTCGGAGTATTGAAGATACTCAAACTCCTAGACAACAATTTATTTACTGGTTATTTTCGTGTGTGATAAATCATCATTCTTCTGACATTTAAAATATGCAATATCTAGCATTTAGAACATTGTTCCGGCTATTTAGTGAGTGAGTGCTGATTATTAGTGCATGATTTTCACTGACTTCTTTTTATTTATCTGAAGTTATCCACATATGTCTTCTGTGAGTATACGCTCTAGAGCATCCCAACATTGCCTTATGAAGAAAGAACAGATGAAGGGAAACTTAGAGCCTGAAATGAAAACCTCAGCGAAAATTATGCTGTTACATGCATTACTCAGTAAATAGATGGAAAAATGCCTCAAACTGCTTGATATTGTACACATATTAAATATTATAAAACAAATTCATGAACACGTATCCTATTCTGTTATTTTACTTTCTATAATATAAATCTAAATTTCTAATTCTCCATCTTTAATATCTCCATGAGAACCAAATTTCGATTTGACCATAATTAAAGGCTTTTTTCTTAGTGGTCAGTTGTTCTTTTAGTGTGCTAGGTTTTCTTCACTATTTGTAAAGTCGTTGTACATGTGTTTATGCGCATATATGTTGCTTTCTTGGAACAGAATCACACTTGATGGTGAACCTCTGAAAGAGGTAGAAGCCTATGCATACCGAGGCAGTACCATTGATAAACAAGGTGGATCCAATACAGATGCGAAGGTTTCAGTCCTCAAAGTCAGGACAGCATTCATACAAATGAAGAATATTAGGAGCTCAAAACAATTGTCAAACAACACCAAAGTCAGAATTTTCAACATTAGTGTCAAAACAGTTGTTTTACGGAGGTGAGAATTCAAGAACTGCTACAACCATCATTAAGTAAATACGAGTATTTATAAAGAACTGTCTACTCAAGATACTGCAGACCGATTGTCAAGTGACCATCAACAATAATTGACTGTGACAGAGAAAAAACTAGCTGTCTGTCAACATAAGTAGCATACACCACAACAGCATAGGTAAATATCCAATCGAAACTGTGGCACGTGACCCTGCATTTCCTAGACGTTTCTGAGATCTGATCAAACGCTGATTGGAAAAAACGTTTTCTGGAATTTCTGGGCCATTGGGGATGTCGATGAGGGATATTTTTGGGACCCCTCCCAAAGGAAAGAAGATAAAGTTTGAGTACATCTGAGTCAACCTGAACGATTCTGAGTCATATCACTCAAAGTCTTCAACCATTTAATTATAGTTGTCTAGCAAGCATAACCCAACCAGGTAATCTTCATCGGCAAACAACTCAAACAGCAATGGTTAATGACCTCATGAATTGCCCCCAAATTTTAATTTGGATACCATTAACTTTCTTCTAACCTACTTCTGAACTACCAAGAATCGGTCACCATAGTAGGTGATGGCTAGAGACACAATAAAGATTCGCAACCTTCATCATCAACCGATTTGTCACAATTGCCAAGTATCCTATGTATAATCTCAACATTACTCACTCAGTCATTCTACAAAACTCGAGAAAAATGCTTCAAAGACAACTTTATAACTAACAAAATTAAAGTAGTACAAGGAAAAATGAAGTTAATGGGGAAACTATTCGATTTGTAAATCGAGGAGAGAAAGTAAAAACAGAAAGAGAGAGAGAGAGAACTTTGTTTTCTAGCTACTTATATGTCATTTCTCGGAACAATAATGATTATAGAAATAATAACAACAAAGATCATAACAGAGAAGAACGATGGTGGCAACAATAACAACATTAATGGTTAAAGCTAAAGAAACAAAACAAAACATAACTGACGGTGACGTAAACATCGTCATCGTTACCAACAATAACAAAATAAAATGATAATGATAACAACAATCATACTGTAAACAAATACAAGTTGTTCGATGTTAATTTATGTAAATAAACTGGATTTTACATCATAAATGTAAATAATAACAATAACAATAATAAAAATAAGAGAGAGAGAGCTAAGAGAGGAAACTTTTTGGTCTGATTTGTTTATTCTCTCGTTGAGCGGTTGCAGTATTTTCTTTTTGAATGGTTAAGATCATGAGTCGAAGTGAGACATTAACACCGTTGGATGCCGGCCAACTCAGTGGTATGGTGGTTAAGCGCTCGCACGCGAGACTGATAGGTCCTGGGTTCGAGTCTCGTGAGGCGAGGCCATGGATGCACGCTGCTGAGGAGTCCCACAACGGGACGAAACGGCCGTCCAGTGCTTCCAGGTTTTCCATGGTGATCTAGCTTCAATTGACTCATGATCTCAACCACTGAAATTATTATAATATCCACAAAACCCTTTTGATATTTTCTTTTTGTTTGAAAAAAGTTATTAGTGAGAACTTAAACCTATGGAACTAGGTTTTTCATTGAGTCTATAATTAATAGACGAACCAACGATATTTAAGATAACAAGTCTTAGATGTTGGCACGTTATTCATTTGTAGCGTTTTGGCATTAAAGTTGATCTCATTTCATAATGAATCCCAATTACTTATACTAAATTGACCCTAGTATGTAGGTGAGTCATCTCAAGGTCACTTCAATATCGCTCAAAGGTCGTCTGTCATAGGTATTTTTCAGTAGGTCGGTACAGTATTCATCCATCAACAAGGCGTTTCAACAATCTCAAAGAAGCCGATTGCCTTGATTATAGGATTCAACTAAGTGTTAGACATAAAATTCGTTACCAAATTATTATTCAGGCTTGAATTGATCTTTTTAAATCTCAAGTGTGGCTGAATTCCTGATGAGTGATAGGTAAAATAAATCACTGACTCAAGCTTTGATCGTTAACTGTTCAATCAATATACCTATTGTGACCACATTGATAAGTTATCGATAAAATTCTATCAAGATTAAGATAAATACAACTTTGTTGTCCCTTCATTTTCATACCAGTCACTCCCTGTCCCCGTTCTCTTCTATTCGATCTTCTCAACCTGTTGCTGGCAGGCATTCCATTTTCGATTGGCTTTACATACTACTTATATTTGTCAACATAAGTAGCACACACCACACTACTACTCAGATACATATATTCATTTTGTTTAACAAAGCAAAGTTTGAAATTCATTATTCTCAATATAAGTATGTGACCCGTGCAATTTACATGAATATTCATCATTATTGGAACAAACAGTTTGACAGAAATAGAACCTGTTCAGTAGGAGAGGATTTTGCTGATGTTCTATTGTTCTCTAAGCTGAATGTTGGTTTTATCACACGAACAAACTACCCAGTTCGCGGAATGTAAAACTCAAAAAAGAAGATGAAAGAAATCATAATGAACAACACTCTCGTTCTCTTTCTCTTTCTCATAATAAATATTCTATTTAAATATCAGAGTGTTTGGTGAAACCGGCAAATATTGACAAACAATTAAATTCAATTGATGGGTTTCTCAGAAAAGAAATTCGTATTGCTTTTTGTCACTGTTTGTTACTATCCAATACAAACAATGTAGAACCTGTCAAGTATATATATCTGAACCAGTTTACATTAACAGAGAGAGAGAGAGAGATGGAACTATTAAGACAAATACCATAATAGTCGAATTAGTAACACTATCAGTGGAACTAGAAAATACTAAGCGCAATTAATATGGTTCGAGAAGGAAGAACGAATTTCCAGAATAAAAAGTACATGTATTTGATGATAAAGAGTGAATGTAAATGCGCCATTGTGACCAATCCTGAGTCATATCATTCAAAGCCTTAACCATTTGGCCATGATAATTGAGTAGATTCGAACCACGTAGTTTAAACCGACATACACGACTCAGCTCAGTAGTCAAGAACTTCATGGAATGATTTTACGTGTTATTTTGGGTACCAATAGCTTTCTTATAACCTAATCCTACACCAGTGAACATCACCCATCGAAGTAGGCGATGGTTGGGCATACGTAACACATGCCGTATCAGTTGATAAAAATCAACAGCCCTGTCATCTCATTTGCCATCTTTATCTAGTACCATGTATGTGTAACCTCCACATTGCTCACTTGATGTTCCAACACATACAGGTGTATGGCTTTAAAGACATCCATTGGTTAAAAATCAATAACCTGAGAATATTCGCTATTTTTGAAGGCCACATTTTATAGCCATAAGGTAGAACAGGACAAATATACTACTGTGTCGTCCTTCGGTTAATTGACAGACAAACTGCCTACGCCTGCAGTGACACAATGTAGCAAAAGTTTAGCAACCTTTCTGAATCTGTGCTGTGACGTTGTCAGATACTTAAATGTTTATTCACAACTAGGATTTAAAAATTTTTTCATTGTCTTCCTGTGTGTTTGGAGAATTATCGTTTCAATCATGTTAATCAAATGGATGAATGTAGTCGATCAAATAATCAATATTTAACACATTAGCATTTCAGTCAAATCTCTCTCTCTCTCTCTATGTATATCAACCTACTTTATCCACTATTCCCCTCCCCTCCAAAAAAGCACACTATCACTGTCTAATGGATAAAATGTTATTGTTTTCCGTCATTTCTTCCATTAAAATAAGAAACAACTTGTGTTATGATTGAGAAGTTAACTGTATTCTATTGTTCTCAGTTGGTATTCCCTTCTCTCCCGACGAGTCAGGAGTAGTTGAGGTACATGAGGTACATCTGTTTATCATCTATATAATCTCATATATAAATGACGTAATAAACAATGTCTTTACTATTATGAAACATGGTAAATACAAGACAAAACATAAACAATCTATCCCTACCCCCCTCCACTACTCCTAACAGCAAGAAAAATTATGCAAAGAAACAAACAAACAAGTAAACGAGAGAGAGATAAAAAAATAGGCCTGGTGTGCAAATAAAAAAATTTATACACACACACACACAAATTATTTCATTCTGTGCCTTTACTGGATATAAATAAGGTTCATTTAGATTTTTTTAAAACCATGTTGATGGTAATATGTCACTCATTCAAAAACTTATGCTATCAACATTTCATTTCGATGATCAGATTGTCATAATCTCGTGCTTGTGTTAGTTCTCATTACTATCGTTTGGTTTTATTATTAAATGTAAGTGCAGTTTAGGTATTTACTGAGTCGTCAGTTCATTTTTCTTTACTCTTTTCTCTTCAAGATTCCTTTATACACTGCTTCTTACATTCTCCTCCACCCCTCAGAACACAAGGTACCTTCAAGTTAGATGCAAGCCTACTAAAAACTGAACGTTATAAATAATAATCTTGGTGATGATTATAACGATGATCAGATATTTCGTGGAGATAGGATAGGGTAGAGGGAATAAATAATACTGAGGGGAAATGAAGAATTCCTCTTCAGGTGAAGACCAGTTTATTCTCTCCTTCACTCTAGCTTGCTCTTACACTTACTCTGTGTACGTGTGTGTATGTCTTTACCATAAAGGAAACTTAAACACTGACTTAAAAACACTATTTATTATTACTAATTATTATTATTATTAATGGCTTTATTCAATATTATATTTTGGTACAACATAGAATTCTCAGCATCATCGTCATCCCCGTCGTTATGGTGTTGTAAAAATTGTTGAATGTTGTTGAAATTATGAACTGATCTAAATTAGAAAACTACTGAAAATCATAAGGTACTGGATAACCGTTTTATCCTGGCATGGGATTCCTTAGTGTCCGTTTGATTCCTACTCAGTAGTTTAGAGGTTGAGTGTTCGAATCAAAGACTGCAGGTCCCAGGTTTGTAACTGCGCACTGTTAAGTGGTTTCATATTGGAACGAAACGGCCGTCCTATCATTTAAGGATTTCAATAGTTGTCTAACTTAAACTGGTTTGTGATCTCAATAATATCACTACCATTGTCGATATGAAAAGAAATCAACCATGAAGAATACACGAAAACTGAGGTAAACACACATAGGGATACCTAGAGACAACTACTACTTTTACAACAGTAATATGTGCTTACTCAAAAGCTTGTGGTGATTCTGGAATAACAACAATGAACCCTAGGTAAATTATCCTTTAAGCTGAGTATACTATACCTTATAAGATTTTCTGAATGTTGAATGATGGATGAAAAATAGCGAAAGTCATAAAAGGACGATGTGGGAACATTATTGAGACTGTATGACTAGGCCATATAAGCGTGTTCACCTTACGTCTGAAATGATAATCGAAGTTCTAAGTCAAAACTTTCAACACTGTTCCGTCGTATCGTGAAAGTTCCCATGCCCATACATTATTGATTGTTCAGTACATAGAAAGGGGGGGAGGATTAAGTTATCAATAACAATATATATGTCAACTAAAATAAGTTACCAATGTATCATCATTTAAAATCTTTTTGAAGCCACAATTAACAAAAATTTAAATACTGATTGATAAAACTTATATTCACTACGTTGTCTAAGAATGAGACCTTTTGTCCAAAATCCTCATTGGCAGTAAGAATATAAGTGACAAGAACAGCTCAAATCAAAGCATATTATATCATAAACCTACAAAATTACATTATCTATCCATTTCTATTGGTACTACTTCTCCGTATATGACATAATCATCTCCGAATTCAATGGGATTTTTTTTATTAATTAATCCCTATTTCAAATAAGTACCATTTAAGAGATTTAATTCAGAAGTGAGTTGATGTTATCCATCATTTTATCTGCGTTAATGTTATCTGTTTTATCTAGTATTGTGGAACTTTTTTTTCGTTCACTCAGTACATGAGTGCTGCATGTTAGAATGCAGTTCTCACTAAAGGTTTCATTTCAAGAGTCTCGAGTTATCCTCAACTATGTGCTATGAATAAGTCAATGTAACAGAGCCCAACATCTAGGATGAAAAACGTGAATTTATTGAAAATTAGTGTTTAACAATAAATCTCTAGTAATAAGTAATGCTCACTGACTAAATGAACAGAATAACAACTGAAAAGGCTGGATATAACATATTACTCGAACATGGAAAATGTGACAGATAACGTCAACCGAAAAGTTGTTATCACAATAATAATAAAGGTTATAACATGAAAACTAACCTTTACAGTTATTTAACATAAATAAAAGAAACTCCTCTAGAAATATGTCCCTTGAGATAGGTGGTATCTCAGTCGTAAAACCTTAGTTACCTATCTAGACAACAAACAACCACTTACTCAAGTCAAAAGTGGGTTATAAATTCATGTGAAGAATTGAGATTGGGAGTTAAAGCTACACTTATAGTTAGAGACTAAAATAAGGGTTTTCAATATTTATTGACATCAGGTATAATGTCTAGGCTAGATTCCTTGTGAAGGAGTCGTAAACACACACTCTCGAAAAGTTCTATATTAAGAAGAAAACGTTTTATTGTGCTTTCAACTGTTCAATGGTTGTTTAATCTAGATCAGTTCATGATTTCAATGTCAATCAAAACAAGCTGTTTAGTCAATTGTAGTGGAAAAATTCTAATTGTTCACTTATCCTTGAAGTGCTTGCTGATAAGGTTGTCTAGAAAGACAAGATTAAACATCCAGAAGCTCAGATACTATAACATCTGAAATTCCTTATCTTAAGCTACAATTAAATTACCACAGCATATGAAGGTAAACCCTATTATCAGTGTGGGGATTTGTGGAAATTGTAGTGTTTTCACAGTTGAATTCACAAGTCGATCTAAGGTAGACCTTCACTAAAATCCTGGAGGCACTGGACGGCCGTTTCGTCCTAGTACCTGACTTCTCATTGGTGAGCATCCACGATCCCGATGACGGCCCAGTGGTTTAGAGGTTAAGCGTTAGCTCTAGACCAAAGGTTCTGGGTCTGAGTCCCACGCGTGAGGTCGTGGGTGTAAATTGATGAGAAGTTCCATTCTAGGACGAAACTAACGTTCACTGCTCCCAGGTTTTCAATGGTGGTCTAGCTTAGATCGCCTCGTGAATTCAACTGTGCAAACCCTATTATTTTAAGACTATTATCAAACGATACCACAATAATAATGATGTCAGTAAAATAAATATACAGAGGAAATGAACTAACAAAAACAATCTGATCAAAGATATACATAAATAGACACATACTTGTGGACTTATCGGAATTTTCAATAGTTCTACCTTGTCTTTCCAATTCTATAATAGATGATTCCTGATTGACAGATGGTTTCATTTGATGTTCTCTATCTCTTGTTCTAGCACCAATACTATTACTACTATTATTATTACTATTAGATGACTTCCCGACTACTGACATAGTAGTGGTGATCGCAGCCATGGGCAACGAAGTCACCGTTGTTACTGCCGTTGATGTTAAAGTTATTGCTGGAAGCGGTGGTGGTGTTGGTGTTGTTGTTATCATCAATTCGTCTTGTCTAGTTGCATCGAACCAACGTTGTTTAACAGCTTTATCAAACAATGATGATGTGAGGCTTGTATGAGAAGTGGTAGTAGTGACAGCGACAGCTGTAGGAGCGGCGGAAGGTGGAGGCGGAGGAGCAGGAACAATGGGGGTTGTGGTATTCGAGTCAAAAAATACACCATTTGCTGAGGCGGGATTAGAAGCAGCTACAGCCGCGGCAGCAGCGGCGGCGGCGGCTGCTGCTGCAGCGGCAGCAGTTGTATCGAATTCTTTAGGATCAAAATTTGTGGTATTGCCGCCACCGATACCAATACTACTGCTACTATTATTATTCGCAGCGGCAGTTGATCTTGGAAGCCATGATATTGACGCAGGGTTAGATAAACCGGAAGCTGCTGCCGCCGCAGCTGCAACCGCCATAGCCGCGGCAGCTGCGTTCGCTGATGTCGATTGATGAGGAAGTTGAGGATCAGTTGCAGTTTGAAATTGACCAGTTAGAACAGGATGATGAGTTGACATACTGGTGATGATTTGATTGTGCAAACTTGAAACACTTGACAATAATGCTGCCGCTGCACTAGCTATTAAAGCTGGATGACATGAAGTCGGTGGTGTAGATGGTGAGGGAATAGTTAATTTATCCACTATATTATTGTTGGATGATGAACAATCATTTGGATTATTTGGAAATACGGGTAGAGCAGGTGGCAAATTACAATTATTAATATTATTAGTAGTAGTATTATTACTACCATTATTATTACTGGGAATTTGATTTATCAATGTATTTGAATCATAAGATGTATCTAATGTTGAATGATGATTCGATGTAGACCAACGTGATGTTAATGAATGTACTGCACTACGTCTATGATGTAATGGTAAATCACGTAGCACAGACATTGCAGTGCAATCAGGTATAATTAATTGATCTGTACACCATGACTCTGAAGTAGTTGTTGTATTACTATAAACTGGACTACAATGCATTGGATTATCAGTACGATAGATTGAATTAATATTTTGTACTTGGGATTCGTATACGGAATCTGAAATCAAACATACGTATATATATATATATATATATATATATATATATATATATATATATATATATATATATATATATATATATATATATATATATATGATACCAATTATTTAATTGTAGCTTATTCTGTTAAAAAAGCAATCAACAAGGCTTACGTATTTGGTAGAAATAATGCAATTCATGAAAAATGTTAAAGGTTTATAGGAAGTTTTCTCACTTCTTGATTACATATATACCGTAGGAGGATATTTTCTCTTTAAGTATTTGAAATATGAACAATCTAGACTACAGTCAGTCTTGATGATCTGAAAGCATGACGCAGAGTTCAAGGAACAATAGCTTGAAGTCGATTATATGGATAACATGGCTCAAAATCGGTCATAATAGCGTTGATTCATTCACTTTCTATCTTCACTTAGATCATGAGTTCTAAGGATATCCTATATTGTTTTATTTCACAAATTCATTCATTTTCCTCAAATTATACTAACTATGTCTAATCATTTCTAATACAAATAATACTGGTGGTCTAACATTGATCGGTTCATGATCTCAATTAAAACTCAACAATCTCCACAACCCTATACTGATAAATAATACTGTCGTTATATGTCCATAACTCTAGCAACTTGAACCTGAGGTAATGCCGTGAGTAATATGAAAGTATAACATTTGAGACTATCATATAAAGGATTATTGATATTGTTATGCCATAAATATTCGATTTTTAGACTATTATATTTTTATATTAGCCTGATTCTAAGGTTTCGTTTGACCCATGAATAGTTATCATATGTATTGTCAGTTAAGATTTTTCATCAACAATTATGTTCCTATTACTCTAGTTTGTATTACTTATGAGTAAGTTATGTACACATTATAATTTTCGAATTGTGTTACTAACTATCTAGTCAGACATTTAAAAAAAAATTGTTACAAGAGTTTTGAGTTATGATTGTATTAAGTACAATTAAGGATTAATCTATGTTCATCTTCTGATTGGGCATCTTATATGATGCATGCGTATCAACGATACATAAGCTTATGCTGATGCACATCATAACATACACATGGGTATAAGCATTCTTAGAGGGATTGATGGTTGTCTCTCCATATTTTTCATAGAGCAAATTGTCTTTTCTCTTTTTTGCACTTATAAGGTGTATATATGTCCGAGGTACGAAGACTTACGTCCATACACATCTTGAAATAAACAGCCAAAAGCGTTCTTAAAAGAGGGCTGATGGTCACTACTCTTCTCGACTGTACTTGCTGCACCTCTATTTTTAGCTTGAGCGGATTTTGTTTCATAGGTTAGGTCTGTTTTTTCATATGGCGGACAGTCTACTCGATCTCACTCAGGTCAAGCCCCAGGGCGTTCATAATCTACATAAACAAATTACGCGAACCGAGACTCATTTAATTCATATTTATATTCATGCACAAACTGTATCCCTATACGATTTTGGTGCCTTAAATTGTGGGTTTCTGAGTAAACCAGTTACGAAAGTGTCTGATCTCCGCCCAAGTTAGATAATGAGATTTCCCCCACGGCCCAGCAGTTCCACGAGGAGGTCTTAAGTCGTATTTTACTGGATTGTGCTACTTCCTGATAGGCTATTACCACTTTTCGTCTGGTAATTTCTTTGTGCCGAGAGTTGTTCCATTTTAACTTCTGAAATGCTGTGTCCTTTTTGGGTACCATCGTTGGAGATTGTTGTCGAAGAGTTGCTTGTGTGAGTGAATTCCCCTCGAATTGAAATAATCTTGACCGTTCGTAATTAACGATCACTGTAGACTCAACTGAACAGATCACAAGTTACAATAGTATTCACCACAAACTAATTCCAAAAGACGTACCACTGAAAACCAAGGAGCGCTGAATAGCCATTTTGTCTCAGTTTAGGACTCCCAAGTAGTGCTAACGAAACAGCTACTCGGATAGTCAACAGCTTTCTCAATGCAACCTACAGTAAGTTCATCCAATTAGGAATACTGTTATATCTTAATGAAGATATATATATATATATCTTGTACAAATATTATTTCCTGTTGTATGGTGTGGTGTCCGTTTTGACTTGTATATTAACCAGGTATGTTTGAAATAAACAATTCGTATAGTGGAAGCTGGTATTGGTGTTCTGGACTCAACAGACAGGGCTAGGAGGAAAAAGAACCAATAAGGACGCTAGGCTGCTCATACCGGTCGATACGTCATTGGTTTGTCACAGTGCTAAGATTGTATAAGTCGTATTCCCATTGGCAAATAAGTCACGTGATGAATAACCGACCATCAAGCCACAATAAATACAACCTACGAATCAAACTAATCTCTACAAAATCCCCTTCACTTTAATTAGTAATCGATTTAAGTTACACGGCCATTGAAAACCTGGAAGCACTGGAAGGCCGTTTCGTCCTAGTATGGGTTTCCTCAAAAGTGTGAATTTACAAACCCGCATGCAAGAACAGAACCCTAAACCTTCGGTCACATGCTCGAACACTTAACCTCTTGACAACTGAAATCGACATCCAATGGTGTTAATGTCTAACTTCAATCAATTCACGATACTGTACGACCATCTTATATTGTCTTCGGTGGGTAACTGCCTCACATCAAACATGATAAGTCTCCTCTGGTCACAACTTCTTACTATAACTCCAAGAATCCCCTTTAAAAGCTAGTGACTATTGATCACATGATAATTGACAATATAAGATTGTGGAGATTGTTGACTTTCATTGAAATCAATCAAACTTAACAATTTCCACAGCACTATATTGACAAACCCCTTTCAGTTCAGTCTATTACTATCTACTATACAATCGAATGAAAAAATAAATCCAGGGAAATAACTAACTTGATTCTAATTCTGTCTTATCCGGCAATTCCAATGTTCCATTTGCCAGGGAATTAACGGTAGAATCTAAATGTCCATTTGTATTCCAATTAAAGGAACCAACTTGATTAATTGTTTGATTATTATTATTAGTATTGCTATTACATCCAGGAAAACAATTTAATGAACAATTTCCAAATGATGCAGGAACTGAATTACATAATGATGATGATGATGATGATGATGATGATGATGATGATGATGATGATGATGATGATGATAATGATGAATTAGTTGACCATTCAAAAGTTGTACCACCACAACGCGCTCTACTGATTAGATGTCGTACCATTGCATTTAAACGTTGTGATTCTTTACGAACCTAAATCATATCAATAATAATAATAGATCGTAAATGAAAAAAAACTAAATGAAATCAATGCATGGACGAAAATTTAAGACTTTTCATTACTCCATTACTCTATACATTAACAGTAATTATGCACTTATTAGTGACTAATTTCAAGAGGTAAATACCGGAGTTCTGTTGAAATGTAATTAGTGGAATTTAATCAGTAGGGTCGATCTTTATACCAATTCTCCACTGTCAGCCACGATGCAGTATGAACAAAAACTCTGACTAAATAGCCATCCGCTAACGATGCACATATGCCGAACGAGACTGATCGATTGTAGTCGTAGACATCAACAACGGTAAAATACAAGCCCTTAAGAACACATAAAGTTCAATACTATTTGGATAAGTAAATACTTTGTGGTAGATTAGAATGATCAAACGTATATACATAGAGAGCGTCAGTTAACCCTTCAGTCAGTCCGTCAATTGGCCGCTACGTCGAACCAGGTATGTATGTACATCAGTTCAAGTTCCTGCACTTTATTAGCATACAGAGATGGGATTTTTAGGTTAAATTCTAGAGTACCAGAGGTAGTAACAGCATCAGTGGTAGTAGAAAAGATCAAACATAAAAAATACGATTTAAAAAAATAGATTGGTGAAGCGAAAAAATTATCACGGATTCAAAACTTTACAATCTAAGATAAGATGAAGATTCAATGAACTTCCATCATCACAAACGATTCTGAATCATGTCATCCACAGTCTCCAATCATTGGTTACGATAATCACGCCAATCCCAACCACGTAGTCTACACCTAGCTACATGGCTTAGTCTAATTGTCAGTGATTTCATAACCTGGTGTCATGTTTTGGTTTGGCTGCCCCCAGTTTTCTTTCAGTCTACCCTTACACCACACAGCATTCGCCGTCGAGGTAGGCAATGGTTAAGAAAACGTAACACACGTCTCAACCACCCCACTTTATGAAGATTTACTACCTCGTCAGTCGATTTGCCATCTTTACCTTACTTTCTCGGTGGTCCCAAAATTCATGAGTGATACTTCCAAGACATCAACAACCGAATACTAGTAACTTATAAATATCACCTATTCTGAATACTCATATTTCACATCCATGAAGTCGAATGAAGCAAACTACTACTCAGTAAACAGGTTATTTAGTTGACAGACGGATATCTTCAGTCAGTCGGTTGGTCGATCGATCATAGCCAACATAAAATCCTTCAAGCAATTGACAATAATTGATTTCAACTGTTGGAATAATCATAAACTTTATATCTAGTTAAATTTTTTGAAGGCTCACGACATTCTTACTGGTTTCATCGCTCGTTATACTTCAACTTTTATCATCAGTTTACAGCTACTCATCAATGCATTACGTATGTAAATTTTAAGTAGTGTCAGTTTATTTTCAGAATGGGGGTTTGTGAAGATTGTAGTAATCTAATAGTTGAATTCATGAGTTGATTTAAGCTAGACTACCTTGGAATACCTGGAAGCACTAGACGGTCATTTTATCCTAGTGTGGAACTCCTCAGCATTGAGCATCCACGATCCCACATATAGGACTCGAACCCACACTGGGACGAAACGGCCGTCCAGTGCTTCCAGGTTTTTCATGGTGATTTAACATAAATCGACCCATAAATTCAACCATTTTATTTGTTTATTACTTCTTTGAAAATAATTGAACACATACACAGGAAAGTTTCATCATATATAATAGTAATTCTTATATGGATGAAAGAAAAGACACTTACTGTTCTCAAGTACAATTCTAACCTTGATGCACATACTTCAACTTGAGCAAGGGCTTGTAATGATAATTGATGTGTCTTATTCAAGTGTCTATAATAATAATAATAATAATAATAATAATAATAATAATAATAATAATGAGAGATGGGAAAACACATGCGTTTGAACTGGGAAAAAATATAGGAAAAAGGAAGAGAGATAGATAAGCGAAACTATCTAGTGTTATATTAACTGTATGGTTGATAGATTTTCTATTCTTCACACTTTTATGTTTATGGAATAGACGTAATATGGTTAGTAGTAAAATCCAGGAAACGTAATTCTTCAAGTTTCAGACTCATCAGATTGATGTACCCACACATTGCAGTTTTGATATTTATTACATTGCGGCAAGTGCCTAATACCTTTCACTCCAAAAGCTCAAAGTGGTATCCCCGAATTAATAAGTCTAGATAACCGTTAAATTATTCAACGAACATGGTATTTATATCACTATTAGTCTTAATTAAAAATATATCAATACTAGGAGGCAGGTACATTCAACTGACAAGTTGGAAATAGTATGAGATGCCCATCTACTGGATTCCACTGTTATCCCCAATTTATTTATTCTGTAAAACATTTGACAGAATCCCTATATCAAAGCAATGTGTACTAGATTCACATATGTCAACAAAGACTGATCGAAAATTCGGTTTTGAATATCAACAACGGGATAATTCAAACTCTTACCAATAATGACATAAACCATATATATATACTTATGCTGGCAGATATAAGTAGTATGTAGCAGCAATCGGAATTAAAATGCCTGTCAATAGAAGACTGAATTGAAGAGAACGAGAAGGGAAACAGTGAAAAATTGTAATCACAATAGAATTGAAAGAATTATGGAGCATATAAAGGACGACTGAAGGTAGATGTGAAAATGATATATTCAATGTATGGTTTACATGTATATAAGTAACTAACTGTAAGCTAGTTAGTGTCAGTCAGTAGCTCCAACCATCACAGACACACAGAAATAAATAAAGAATTCTAAGTACATTACAAGTTACTGCGATGGCAAATACGGAGTATAATTTTCTTCACTATCAATCTTTGAAGACAGAAACAATGATAGTCTAATGAATACACTGGAATTTAAACATTTCATATATAATAGATAAGTCAGTCAGTTAGTTGCAACGTAGAACCTCGTACCTGTGAAGCGCGGAGTAGTAGACGTAGTAACTGAAAAGGTCAGACATAGAAGATACGATTCCAAACAAAAAAATTATCACGGATTCAAAACTTTACAATCTAAGATAAGATGAAGATTCAATGAACTTCCATCATCTCAAACAATTCTGAGTCATTTCATTCAAAGTCTCCAATCATTGGTTACGATACACACGCCAATCACAACCACGTAGTCTACACCTAGCTACATGGCTTAGTTTAACTCTCAGTGATTTCATAACCTGGTGTCATGCTTTGATTTGACATTGCTGCAGATGCTGGTTGTCTGAGGAAAACACCTCGCTGTTGTCAACCCCCTCCCACAGTCATCAGTAAGACTTCACTCTCGGACATTAAGTTACTACTTTTAGTCTTACCATTATCCAACCGACATCCCTGACATGGCAGAACCTGAAAGAACAAGTGATAGGCATTATGTTCCAGAATTAGTGTGAACATCAACACTGAAATACAAGTTTATCCAGTTGACGAGTCCCAGATAGAACGAAACACCCCTCCTATTTTCCGTTACTAACCACGAATCCAACTTTAATGAATATTATAAATATGCTTTCTTAATTCTGATGTTCCAACATTAATTCTTGGGTGGTTTTATTAATTAATTAAACTGTCCAAACTTATTTGTTCTAATTCTAGACACACAAACAATTGATTAATCATATTTTAAACTATAAAAATCATTCAGTTTGCTTCTTATTCCCCCTCCTCCTATTGTTTACATTGTTTTCCTATATTAACTCCAGATTTGTGTGAGTATGTGCATTTATCCCTGTATATGTAGTCTATCTCAAAATTGTAACAAACTGAAAGAAACCAAACACTAAATATGTTTCAATTTTGTACACCATCTACACTTTTTATCCTTTTTCTTCTATAAGAATATAAATGGATGTCTATAAAGCGGACCAACTACAAACAAACAAACAATAAACAAACGAACAAACAAGTAAACAAACAAGCACATATCCGTTGACCTTGACCCGGTTTCTGTTTTCTAAACATGAGATTTATCTGTCTAGACATACAGTTTGGTTTACTGAAGTGACGTAAACTAGATTAAAACCAATTTATTTTCGATACAACAGCTGATTAACTTCGACTGGCCGACACCTAGTTCAAGACATTAATAAATAGTAGACAAATGAATGATGATTAGATGGAAAAAACTAGGACATACAATACACATACAAATAAACAGATGTAATCGATATAAGTTACCGAAAAGATAATACCACTTATGCTACTTATGGATTTGAGTAGTGTGATATTCTGTCGAGAAAGTTAATCTTCATCCATTTTATAGGTCAAATAACAGTTTCACATGTCATGAGTAAAAATTATCACCTTTCATACATATATACACATAATCAGACTGATCTCAATGAAGAGGTTGTGTATGGTGTCAAAATGTTGGCACAGATACAAAAATCCCTTTCGTTTTTGTATTAACTTGTGCTACAGTTGAATAACTGTCTACTCTCTGCTACTTTATAACCGTAAAACATGATATTTGCAATTAGTTAATGAATGAGTAGTGGCCAATAAGGTATTTGTCTAGTAACTGAGTGTTGATCGAATTTTTATCATTCAGGTTGTAATATGGTCTCTGGTCTAAATGACTCAATATCGTGTGCACCATGCTGAGATATAAGGTAGTTTTTTTGAGGTAATCAACAGAAAACCCTATAATGACTTTAGTTTTGTGCTAGTTACTACTTTTCACCAAGATGTACTTGTAATCTTGAGGGAACTGACGCTCCCAATAGAATCATAACCTGAGTTACCAAGCTTCATAGTCAGACATGTTATCACCGATCTATTCTGACTGAGAATGATCTCTCTTTTTGACCAAAGATATCGAAGAGATTAGATGAAAGTATGAATTGATGAACATTTACTAATACACTTATTGGAACCTATTTATCTATACATATTTCGAGCACCCCTTAAACCTTAAAAATAATTTTTTTTAATAGTCTACATCAATTATTTAAAATCAGGAAGCGATCGATAGTTGTTCAATAGTGACTAATTTTGAGAGATAATTCATGGAAACTTAGCGAAAATCTATGATCAATGAGATCCAACCATGTTAAATGTGAAGCAATTATCTAACGGTACCATTGAGATATGGTCTCGTGAATCGATTTTAGTTGGACATATAAACCACCTACAATTGACTGATCACTATGTGGTGATGAATGTCATGTAAGTCAAGTCGTTCTGAGTGCAGATCGAATCCTATCGACCGAATTGCAATATGGCCAACAACCTAGGTAACTCGACATTGCGTGCACTATGTTAAGATAAGATATGCTGTAAGGACACTGGAATTGTTCATTGCTACACGAATCCACACTTAAACATGACATCTTACTTCTGTTACCAGGATTTTCAAATGTTGCTTCACAAGGGATAAATGTATCGTAAAAATTATTCAACATTTACATCTTTCTAAATTATCTACTCTAATGTAGATAAATATTTCTCTCCATTACATGTTACATTGATTATTGTATCAACCTGATAATACCTGGAAACTGGTATACATTTCATATCAATTATCAGAAAGCATTTGAATTAGCTCACTGTTCATAATCTTGATGAAATTTCGATTAGTGGCTCAGTGGGAAAATGAGTTGTGCGTTTGAAATGAAAGCTACTGGATCCAGGTCCCGATGGAATTGAAATCAACATTGTGATACAGGTATATCAATACAACTGACGAGTGGCCAACTGGACTCAATTAGCTACAATCCATCTATCCTATATGATAATTTCCAGGACAAACTTATTTATTTAGACTTGCAAGTACAGTATATCTGAGGGGAACGATGTTGAAAATCAATCATAGGTAAGTGAGTTGCTAAACCATAATGAAATTGTGACAACGACAACTGTTTAATAACCCCCCTCGAGTGTTTCACACTTTGCATCAGTTTATGATCAAAATAAATCGATAACCGTGATCGTATGTTAGTTAATTAGATGATATTTGTTACAAGGTGTATATTGAAACTTTTTGAAGGAACTAATACTTCATAATTGGTATTTAGGACTTGACAATTATAATGGTTTAGCAGAGTGAGATAGTGACTCAAGACGCGTGTATCATCCTACTTTAGGACTCATCATTCGAATACATCAGCATCGAAATATTGATGTTCAACAGATACACAGAGAAGCTCGAACCCAGAACACTTGCCTTTTAAAGACGTCAAAAACATTAGCCATTGAGCTACTACTACTACTACTAATACTAATACTGAGTCCAATCGGAAAACATTAACCCTTGGAAGTATGATTATTATCATTAATAGTAAACAATTTTGAAAATGCCGTTTTCTTTAATGCTATAGACATTTCTATTTTCAAACAATTAATTAACAAAAATGTGAAACCATCGAATTCTAACTAAAACCAACAATTTTGATGATGCCGATATTAATGGCGTCACTGTTAAGTCAAAGAGAGAGAGAGAAGAAAATGCCTAGTTTCACTTGTACACTTTTAATGAAGTGTTCGCACAGATACTGTGTCACGTGCACACACACACACACACGTATGCACTACACATTGAAGTAAAACACAACTAACATACCCCTTCTCCCCATATATATGCATTTACAACTGAAGCCTAACGAAGTACTTCTTTTCAGTGTACAAATAGATGAGTGTGTGCGTGTGTGTATTAATATGTATATTTTAAGAAGCCTGGTACACTACATACCACCATCATTAACATCCATAAGTACACTATCTCTATAATCAAGAATGAAGAGTAAACAATTAATAACTGTATATTTATCCTACATAAATGACATTTGAAATGTTAGATAACCAATCCA